GCATTTATAATTGTAATTATAATTATAATATTAAATCGATAATTACTGAAAGCTAATAAGAGGCGCCAGCGCTCATCCGGTCTACCAAAGGGCCGTTCGTTTCAGCGATCAAGCTCCCATCCTAACCGGATCAAACTTCGTACATACAGAACTGGCCGATATAACCGCTCCTTTGTCCTTACGATTCGAGGTTGTGGAAAAATCTACCCATGATGGCTCTTCCGAGTTCTACTAACCTCAAGTAGTTCAAACATTTTTAGGTTTCTGCCTGGGTGGCTGTTTCTGTGTAACAAAATGACTCGAGGACATTGGGGTAGATATAATTGTGGGATCTGGACTTATTATGAACGCAAACCCTTTCGCTGTGTTAGTAAGATGGTGCCCCAGAAGTGGAGAAGATTAAGTTGCAATACTCTTTACTTGATGTATTAATCATGAATATTTTATGCGACAATTCTATGTGACATCAAATAACATGCAATCCGCAAGTTCTGTGATTATCAGTACGATTATCTATAATACCTGCAAACCGTTGTGTAAGTATAACTTTGTAGCTAGAGGCAGACATGGTGACTCAATATATTTTCCTTGAGTTGATATTAACCGGTTCCGTATCGTCCTTCGAAGTAGTATGGGTTTTCGTGATTTAAATGTCATATAACATCAAAAAAACCTAATATTTCATTTTCCAAGTTTTTCGAGACTACAATACAGCCTTATCCAACGGTGTAGTAAAATAATACGTTTTCATTTTAGACAAGCCAAAAAAAAAACAGGGGGCATACTGCTTACCAAATTGTTCGATGCTTTAGGCTCAGAATTAGCCCACACGGAGCAAGTTAGAAATCTAAAATTCGGAAAGGTGAAATTGACACGTAAACGCTATATTTTGGTGTTGGAATAATAGTTGAACATTTCAAAATGGCGGCTGGGTGTCATCTTGTAACGTTTTTTTAATTAGGAAGGCGGGTCATATGATGCCTTACTTTTCAGCTCCTTATTAATAAATCTTAAACATAAAATCACTCCATTCCAAAATGACGAACTGACAGGCCTTTAAAGTTGAGTGTTTTTGTACAACTAATCACTCTTCTAATTATAAAATAGTCCATATGAGTGTGCAAGTAAGTATGGGACATTCAATTTAATAAAAATTTACAGGTTTTGCCTATTCTTTTGAACATACCATTTCATACATTATTAAATATCTGGATAGATTCCTCCAAGAGAAGAAGATTGATAAATCCGAACACCCAGTTTAAATGGTTTTATTTTAATAAAATTTTGTATAGGTACTTAATGAAGCATAATAAGTAAATGATAAAAATTTCAAAATGATTGCACTGCTTTAAAGCCCTTTGACCTTTAATAATGTGTGGATGCACCCTGATGTGCTACGCATTCTCCAACGCGCCCAGGCATGCTTCTGATCAGGTGGTCAATGTCCTCCTGTGGTATCTCATTCCAGGCAACCACCAACTCCTCTAGAAGTGCTTCTAGAGTCTGAGGAGGACGTTGAAAATTGAGCAATCTCCTACCCATCATATCCCACACGTGCTCAATTGGGGATAAGTCGGGAGATCTTGGTGGCCATGGTAACAATGTGACATCATTATGTTGAAAGATATGTGGTCGGGCATTATCTTGTTGGAAAGTTGTGTCTGCCAGGGTGTCAAGATAGGGTAAAAGATGGGGTTCTAGAACTTCGTGGATATAACGCTGCGCGTTCATGTTACCTCTGATGAAGATTAAAGGTGACCTGGAACCATAAGCTTTAGCACCCCAAACCATAACTCCAACAGTGTGATGAACATGTCTTTCAACAAAAAACTGTGGATTCCTCCTTTCACCACGTCTAGCCCTGGCCGCGACCATCGTGCATGCCTAAACAAAATCGAGACTCGTCACTAAAGAGAATACTGTTCCATTCCTGATCCCAGAGTGACCGTTGTCTGCACCACTCAAGGCGATTACGTCGGTGTTCTCGAGTTAAAGGGAGGACCCAGTGTGGCCGGTATGAAAACAAGCCAAAACTTCATATTCGTCGGTAAACACTTCGCATGCCAATAGGTCTTCCGTGTTCTGCAAACCATTCATTTGCAGTGGACCTCGTAGTGGAGAAACGGTCCTCTAAGGCCAATAGTCTTAGGCGGGGATCGTCACGGTCTGTTGTTCTACGGCGGCGTCCAGCGCCCCTTGCTCTTTGCGTACGGCCTTCTCGAAGCCATGACTGACAACACCTAACCACAGTGTCTACACTTCTTTGCACTCTAACTGCAATTGCCCGAAAAGAAAGTCCAGCTTCCCGAAGTCCCACTATACGGCCCCTATCAAACTCACTAAGTTGACGAAATCGTACAGGTCTCCGTACTCTAGGCATCGTAACCGATCGTAAAGGATGTCAAGAACCAAAATCCGCCAACGTTGATTCTTTACTGCGGCTGAAATATTCATTTTTAGAGCGTTAGTGAATTAAAAAAAAAGCAGTATAAAAACCGGAATGTCCAACTGATAAGGCTGAAAATTTTTTCACTTGTTATTTACAGTAAGATAAATACATTCACAAAACTTTTATTAAAATAAAACCATTTAAACTGGGTGTTCGGATTTATATGTCACTTAGTATATATTTTAGCATATCCATGACTGGATGTTGATTTATCAGCGACTCAATGTTGAAAAACGCCCAAATCTAACAGCCTGCCAGATCTCCCTTTTGAAAGAGATCTGGAAGTAAGCTTCGGAAAGCACTGCACAATTTATATAGACGTATGTCTTATTATCTTCATACACTCGTCGGACTGACATTCTTAAGTGGTATGCATAGGATTCATAGTGAACAAGAAAGCCAGTCTAAGAATTCAATATATGCCTGTGGAAATAATTGACCGCCAATTAAGGCATATTTGTGTATCTGGTTGAAATTCGTAATATCAACCATTCAATATTGGGGTATTTACGAGCCCCTTCCCACTTCAGTTGGCCCACTTCAAGATTTGTACCAAAATATAAATATAAACTAAACATGATGGAACTATTTACTTCTAAAATAATTTATTTTCTCAAAAACATTTTAGATACATTCTAGTCGTAAAAAATACATATTTGAAATCACACCTATAACTAATAGAACATCTGATCAAATAAACAATGTGCGAATAAATGCGCGAAGTTAACAAAGCAACAATTGACAGATTGGGTAACATCACCTTTATTTTTGATTACGGCTGAAATTCTTTGGGGCATAGTGTTAACCAAGTTTTGGCAAAAATTTGGTGTAAAACAATCCCATATTTCTGAAGCTTTTGTCTCAGTTCGGTGATTGTAGGAGCAGGATGTTGTCGTAGAACCTTTTTCATCTCGTACCACAAAGTTTCAATAGGTGACAGATCTGGACTGCTAGAAACCCATTTCAAAAGTGGTTCATTATTTTCTTCCATCGATTGTATAGCCTTTTTTGAAGTATGGCACGCTGCACCATCTTACTGAAACACAAAATCTTGGCCGGATGTCAAACATTCTTCCATCACTGGTAAAAGCGATTCTTCTAAAATTGCCAAATATTTGTTTGTGTCCACTTTTCCATCAATAAAATAAAGTTGTCCTACTCCTTTTGATGACATACTGTCTCAGACCATAATGGATGCTGGAAATTTCACTTTTCTCTTCAGACAGTCAACATGGAATGCTTAATTTTTTTTGCGAATAACTCTACTGCGACTGTCACCAACACAACCTTCGAATCGGGCCTCATCACTCCATTGTATTCCACACCATTGTTGAGGTGTCCATTGTCTATGTTCTTTAGCCCATCTAAGCCTAAGCCTTTTTCTTTTGCAGTGGAGTGAATAGTGGCTTTTCTTTGACCTATAAACAAGTTATGCAACTTTAGGGTTTTTACTTCACTTTTTTATAAGAAAACTTACCTTGCAAGTGCTAAATCCCAGTTTGTGGGCCTCTCTATGAGTTGTGGACCTCGAAATTCTCCTTCCAGCAGCGTCACTCCACAGAGCACTTAATTGTAAATAATCGGCACGCCTGTCTTTCACGATTATTCTTTTTAATGCTCTTCGGTCGGCATTTGTGATATTACTTTTTTTCACATATCGTGGCTTAATATTAGCTGAACCAGTTACGTTATATCTTCTAACAGTATTTCGCACACTGTACCGCGATAAATGTAACAAAGTTGCAATTTCTGAGTTTGATTTCCCAGAATTATAAAATTTAATTATCAGTAACCGAATTTTCTCACTAATAACCTTTCCTCTACCCATTTTGAAAACCTTAACTAACCAAAATTATTTTAAACGTATTCTGGCAGCTGTGATTAATAAAAACAATTGTCATGGCTTTTATTGTTCAAAGCCACCTATGCGTTATAGACTTATTTTGCATTGAAATGAAAATAGGTTGATATGCTGTAATTGCAACATGTGTTATTTTTATGCTGCAAATTTGATTATGGAGTGATAAAATTGGTGCTTTCTACAATATACTATCAAAATATTCATTGTTAATATTTTCAACCTATAACACCCTGATACATGTTTATTATTAGTGTTTGGTAACAAAAAAACTAAGATTTCTTTAGTTGGGCCAACTGAGGTGGGTATGAGGAAATATAAAACCCCAGATATGATTTACTAAGAAGCTTTATCACCAGGGGCATTCACAAGATTACCTTTAGGTCAATTTATAAACTCTGACGAGAACTTAAATCATGCGCTTGACCTTCAACTCTAGATTATGTTCGTTGTTATATCAGAATCAAGAGTATTTCCGAAATTAGACATGTTTCTTTTATATACGCTGTAAATACAACTTTCACTGAGGTTACACAGTTACTATTTGCATCATACGTCCATCCTGTACAATCCTGAGCGTCTGTAACGCCACTTTTCAATTGGTTCTAATATCGCAGCAAGCTTATAAAGCGACCACAACTTATACGTATATCAAGATGTAGATATGCTCGCAAAGCATTGAAAATGATTGAAATGCACTTTGACTACAGTTCTATAGTGAGGCCCAACATAATAGCTTTAAAATTGCTAGGCTTTTGGAAGAGTTCTTGCCCGACCTCATTATTCAACACAATATGGTACGTACTTAATGTAATCTATCAACATTAACATCGACATTTTCTGAGTCAAAATAGTGACTAACAGGTTTGTTTCACAATCTGCTTACTTACTTCGTCTTATTAATTCGCCATGTTTGTCTAGCCGCTAAATGATACCACATATGTTTGAATTACTGGCACGATGCTTTGACGACCACGGTAGCCTTTTTCAAGTACAAATGACAATTATGTTGGCAACACTATTTTTTACCAGCGTGCTGCACGTACATCAGTTTCGAACATGTCCCCATTCCACATGCCTCGCCGCCAAGTGCTCTAGCATTATTTACAATATGTCCCTGTCAACGTAAATGAAATGGAGCTGTCACATTGTGAAGGCTGATTGAATTTAAAACATAGTTAACTTGATAACCACAAGAGAAAGTTCTACCACCATGACTATTAACAACCATATTATACGTGACAGGTAAAGCAACATCATGTCTCCTTAAAGACCCAGTAAAACAAAGAAACTTATCAAAGTTAACCAGACAAGAAAACACAATTCAAACCGTGATAAAGTGATTTCTTTATACGTTCCTGAGATGGGTACATCAGATGTCAAGCAACATTTTAGAGACTGTGCAGAACATTGAATTTTTGCCCGAACAATCAGGCATACAGGCTGTCCCAAAATTATGGGCACACCCAAATATTTAGAAAACTAAGGGTGCCAGAAAAAACTTTAAATATAAGAGTGTTAGGAAATCAAATGGCATATCAGGCAACAGCGGTAGCCGCAGTAGTCGACTCTCCGATCTCCTGATCAGTGGCCGTACGCTGTGCGGGTTCGAGTCCCGTCCCAGGAGAAATTTTTCTATTTGCTATGGTATCTGACTGTCGAACGCGGATGTACCACCCGGCGGATCTCGTAGGCGGGGCCAGAATGTTTTGCCTGTGTTCCCCTATGGCCCCACGGTACCTCATGGGTGTTTAAGTCTTAGGCCTTCGTGGTGGTTGGAGTATAAACAAAATCTTGCGGTGACTGAATTTGACGTTGACATTTACTTTGAAGGACATTACAAGAGCAAGTTGATTTTTCTAAATAGGGAACTCATTTTTTATTGCAGAAGCAGGAAGATAAAAAAGTATGCTTCTCAACGATATCGCAAGGGCTAAAATTACATCCAGAGGTTATTTTAAGGTCAACTGTTGCTCTTTCATGGAAGATTGTTGGGAAAAAGAGAATATTAAAGAAGAACTTTTCATGCAAAATTTGCAGGTCACCCAAAGGCACACCTTATTACCTTCATTATGACCTTGGTTATGACCTTGAAGGTCAAATAGTTTTTTTCGCATGGTAACCCTCAATTTTGTTCTCAGCGATGAAAATGGAGAAAAATGTCATGCATTAGCGGAGGTAAAATCACAGATAGAGTTTTTTCCAAGGTCAAGTATCATATTTTTGTGGATCATACTGAATCGTTAATCTTTGCAAGTGGAAAAAGAGATCTTGGACTGATTCCTCAAGATATAGGGGTAAGACTTTTTCCGGGTAGTAAAGGCAAGACAGGCTGGCGTCCAGATTTTGGATATTCCAAAACCCCAAAGTTATTAACGAGTACTAAGGGTTGTCATTGCTCATTCTAACATTTTCAGCAATAGGTTTGAAAGTGAGGGTTTGCATGTAAAAAAATCAATTTGATCTTGAATTGACGCTCAAGGTAATAGCGAAGGTCATCATCAGATGTGCCGTTGGGTGTCCTTTAATTCTCGCACTGAAAGTTCTTCTATAGTGACTTCCCACACAACCAGAGCAACTATGAACGTTATTCGCCCTCTCTTCCGTGGTTACCTTATTTCCAGGTTTGGTGATGTTCTTTGACCTCCTCGGTCCCCAGATTTATCCATCTGCGATTTTTTCATATGGGGACACCTCAAGGCTCGTGTATACGAGCACAAGCCCCAAACTCTGGACGAGTTGTAGGAGGCAATTCGCGTCGCCCAAGTCGACTGGAATCACTAGTGGACCACCATTTACTGTATGACTTTTTTTTATAATACATTTTTCTTAGTGTGATATCTTCTGGTTGTGTAGGTATAGCGGTTACGTGGTAGGAGTGACACTACTCGAATTTTTCTTCGAAGGCACAGGTTTCCTGTTCCTGTACGACAAGTGGGAAAGTTTATCTTTGGTAGACATCAATTCTGTAATCTTCATCTACTCAACTGGAATGTTAAACTTAATGATGATGCTAACTATATATTTTCATATAGAGGTGAGTGAGTTGCAAAGTAGACTGAATATTTCACATGCTAAAATCTTTAAAGATGCCTTAAAGCTTTTCCTAGGTGTCTGCAAAAACAGGGAAAGAATATCATAATGGCTCAACCCAAGACCTGATACAGTAATTTCCATAAAGGACCTTTCTTGCTCTATTTATTTGAAATACTAGAACATGTTAAAAATCTGGAAACTTAGGGGCAGTGGAACTGATATATCATAAATGCCATGATTCAGCGCAAAAGTGGCAGTTGAAAATTTCAAGATGGCGGCTGAGTGCTATTTTGGAGCATTCTTTCAAATAGAATGTGGAGTCGTGTGATATTTCATTTTTTAACTCCTTAGGTTATTTTTATAGCGCTGGAATATCAAATCAAAAAGTTTTAATACTTCGTTTTTTGTACGTCAACAGAACGCTATTTGCATGTTTTATCAATAATCTTCTTCTGGAAGAGACTATCCAAATATTTGGCAAAATATGAAATATTCCATTGAAAAAATTGTCAAAATCTGTAAATTTTCTTAAGCGACATATCCTCAATCTTAATACACATCAAGATAGTCGCTTCCAAAAGAAGAAGATTAATGTAACATACTGTAACTTCTTGATGATTCACAGGCCTTGATTTTTACTCAGAAACTTGATACTACTTTTGCGAAGGTGAACTTGACCTTGATAGGGTAGGGTGGGTTGCGGGCTTGTGGTTTGGTTAAGTTTCAGATATTGTATCGATTTAGCGTTGAAGATTTATGGTTTTTTTCAATTGGCCGGACTTATTTAATAAAAATACCTTGACTTGATAAAACATTTTTGGTGTTTTATAATTCAAACCGTAACTTGGTTAAACGCGTAATCATAACTCGTGGTGAATTTCAGAAAAATGAAAACTTCGACGTGTCACATCCCAGCGAAATAAAAAAGATCTGTAAGCAAACTCGAAGGTATTTACGAGGGCAAGGCTTGTACTTCAAGATGCTGTGTATGGAATACAACAACTCGCCATCCTACATAGTCCCAAATATAGACAAAAATCGATATCTTAGCACCTTTAGGTTAGGATATTTTGAAAGCTAGAACTAATTGAGAGATTTGGACTACGGATTCTGTTTTCATTCTTTTCCTGGAAATACTCTAATGAATGTTAAGTAAGTTGTCCCTCTGACAAATATGATTAAAGGACACTGATACGTAACGACAAAGTTTTCGAGACGGAGAGACACAACTAAAAAACGTATGTCTTTGAGTTTACCGAACAAACGTTAACACACGGTGGCAGGTATGTATGAGGGAAATGGAGATATATAAAGGGCAGTCTTACTTTGACCCGCCAAGAACGGTGACTACAACTATCAGGTAACCAAATAAGTTCGTGCGGCTGCTGCACATGAACTGACAAATGATAACAAATTAAGTCGTCTTACCATTTGTTCAGCAAACATTTCACGCGACGCAAGTGAACCATTTCTTAATCGATTATTAACCTGCGACGAAAAATGGATCTTGTATTCGAATTGTAAGCGTTCATATCATTGGTTGTCGCCTACTGATTCCATGCAACCAAACAAGGTTTTGTTGTATTTTTGGTGGACGGCAACTGGAACTGTCCATTAAGAGCTTATGGGTCAAACCATCACTGCTAACTTGTATTGTGAGCAGCTTCAACGACCACAAGCAGCACTCATCCAGAAACAGCCTTCTTTGGTCAATCGGAAGAAAGTGATATTCTTGCAGGATAACGCCAAGCCTCATACCGCAAAAGTGACCCGAGAAAAAAATTCTGAAGTCAGCTGGGAAACGTTACCGCACCCGCCATATTCTCTCGATATTTTGCAAAGTGATTATCACATTTTTTTGTCTCTTGACACCTGTATGACGCACCGACAGTTCACAACTCGAGATGGTGTAATAAATGCAGCCCGCCAATTTTTTTTACTCCAAATCCAGGGAGTTCTACAATACCGGCATACAAAAATTGATTCCACGTCGGCAAAAGGTCATTGAATGTGATGGTAATTACTTCGAAGAATAAATAGTGTCTTATTGTTTCTCAATAAAAAATTATATTTTTGTACAGGAAACCGCACGGACTTATTTGGTCACCTGATATACATGTGTTAGTGCAATATAGGGGAGACAGGCTATGACTGTCTCACGGGTTGGTTATCACAGCGGTCATAACAGAAAACTAAACAAGCGAATTAGTTTATCTACCGACGTCGAAGAGTCACCATATGTTAGACAACTCTCGTTCCCCGCTTGAATTTTATGAGTAATTATATACTAAGTGACATATAAATCTGAACACCCAGTTTAAATGGTTTTATTTTAATAAAATTTTGTATAAGTACTTAATGAAGCATAATAAGTAAATGATAAAAATTTCAAAATGATTGCACTGCTTTAAAGCCCTTTGACCTTTAATAATGTGCGATGCACCCTGACGTGCTACGCATTCTCCAACGCGCCTAGGCATGCTTCTGATCAGGTTGTCAATGTCCTCCTGTGGTATCTCATTCCAGGCAACCACCAACTCCTCTCGAAGTGCTTCTAGAGTCTTTGGAGGACGTTGTAAATTGAGCAATCTCCTACCCATCATATCCCACACGTGCTCAATTGGGGATATGTCGGGAGATCTTGGTGGCCATGGTAACAATGTGACATCATTATGTTGAAAGAAGTCTATTGTGACTCTTGCAACATGTGGTCGGGCATTATCTTGTTGGAAAGTTGGATCTGCCAGGGTGTCAAGATAGGGTAAAAGGTGGGGTTCTAGAACTTCGTGGATATAACGCTGCGCGTTCATGTTACCTCTGATGAAGATTAAAGGTGACCTGGAACCATAAGCTATAGCACCCCAAACCGTAACTCCAACAGTGTGATGAACATGTCTTTCAACAAAAAACTGTGGATTCCTCCTTTCACCACGTCGCCTTCTAACCCTGGCACGACCATTGTGCATGCCTAAACAAAATCGAGGCTCGTCACTAAAGACAATACTGTTCCATTCCTAATCCCAGAGTGACCGTTGTCTGCACCACTCAAGCCGATTACGTCGGTGTTCTCGAGTTAAAGGGAGGACCCAGTGTGGCCGGATTTAAATAAGCCAAGACTTCTCATTCGTCGGTAAACACTTCGTATGCCAATAGGTCTTCCGTGTTCTGCAAACCATTCATTTGCAATGGACCTAGTAGTGGAGAAACGGTCCCTTAAGGCCAATAATCTTAGGCGGCGATCTTCACGGTCTGTTGTTCTACGGCGGCGTCCAGTGCCCCTTGCTCTTTGCGTACGGCATTCTCGAAGCCATGCCTGACAACACCTAACCACAGTGTCTTCACTTCTTTGCACTCTAGCTGCAATTGCCCGGAAAGAAAGTCCAGCTTCCCGAAGTCCCACTATACGGCCCCTATCAAACTTACTAAGTTGACGAAATCATACAGGTCTCCGTGCTCTAGGCATCGTATCCGATCGTAAAGGATGTCAAGAACCAAAATCCGCCAACGTTGATACTTTACTGCGGCTGAAATATTCATTTTTAGAGCGTTAGTGAGTTAAAAAAAGCAGTATAAAAACCGGAATGTCCAACTGATAAGGCTGAAAATTTTTTCACTTGTTATTTATAGTAAGATAAATACATTCACCAACTTTTATTGAAATAAAACCATTTAAACTGGGTGTTCGGATTTATATGTCACTTAGTATACCTGTATAGGTATTTGTAATGCAAAATATGTGCTTTTTAATACCGCTGAATGGTTGTTTCAAATAAGACACCATTAGAGGTTAAATTTCAAATAGTGTTTGGGGCAGGTTGTATCAGATCGACTGGGTTTGGTTGTCACATGTGACAACCATCCGCAATAAAATGTGTTGCTTTTTCTAGTTTAATTTTGTTACATCCACGTGCGTTTATTTCAGAAGTAAATCTTTGTTTCACCAGCATTAATGATACGTGCTGCTCGAGAGGTGAAAAGTCATGGCCAATCTATAATGTCTGTTGCGACGGACTTTAACATTAATTATCGCACTTAACTAAGTAAAGGGTGTTTTTTTTAGAGGTATAGAACTTTAAATTGCAATAAAACAAGATGGATTATTCGCTTGACATGATTTTTTTTATTCGAAAGATAATCTTGTGGCATTACATTTTAAATATGATTGTTGGCATATGACTGCCACGGCTGGCTCGGATGTAGTCCAATCTGGACATCCAATTTTCGATGACTTTTTCCAACATTTGTGGCCGTATATTGGCAATAACACGGCGAATGTTGTCTTCCAAATGGTCAAGCGGTTGTGGCTTATCCGCATAGACCAATGACTTTACATAGCCCCACAGAAAATAGACTAGCGGTGTTAAATCACAAGATCTTGGAGGCCAATTCACAGGTCTAAAACGTGAAATTAGGCGGTCACCAAACGTGTGTTTCAATAAGTCGATTGTATCACGAGCTGTGAGACATGTTGCGCCGTCTTGTTGGAACCACAGCTCCTGGACATCATGATTGTTCAATTCAGGAATCAAAAAGTTATTAATCATGGCTCTATACCAATCACCATTGACTGTAACCTTCTGGCCATCATCGTTTTTGAAGAAGTACGGACCATTGATTCCACCAGCCCATAAAGCGCACCAGTCAGTTTTTCTGGATGTAACGGTGTTTCGACATAGACTTGAGGATTAGCTTCACTCCAAATGCGGCAATTTTGTTTGTTGACGTAGCCATTCAACCAGAAGTGCGCTTCATCGCTAAACAAAATTCGTTTATGAAAATCGGGAACAACGGCAATCTCGTTTTGGGCCCATTCAACGAATCGACGCCTTGCTTGATGATCGTTTGGCTTCAATTCTTGCACGAGTTGGATTTTGTAAGCACGCAAACCAAGATCCTTCCGCAAAATCTTCCATGAAGTGGACGGACACAGATCCAATTCCTGTGCTCGATGGCGGATGGACTCATTCGGGTCTTCCTCAATGCTACGTTCTACAGTAGCAATAGCTTCTTCTGTACGTACCGTACAGCGTCTCTGGGGATGCGAGTTATCAATTAGAGTAAGCGTGGTGCGAAAACGTTCCATGGTTAATCGAATTAACTGCTATGAGGGACGATTTTGTCGACGATAAAATGGACGTAGTGCGCCATACGTATTCCGCACAGAACCATTATTTTCGAAATAAAACTGCACAATTTGCAAGCGTTGTTCAGACGTGAGTCTATTCATGGTGAATTGCCAAACCAAACTGAGAATAAATCACTTGACAGCTGTCAAATCGGTCGCCATCTTCAAAAGTAATGCCAACTTAAAGTTCTATACCTCGAAAAAAAAACACCCGTTATATCTACAGCAATAGGTTACCAACGTAGTCGACAAAATTTTACCGACAAACAAAAAGAGGAATTGGAAAAGTGCTTGCTTCTCGCTTCAAATATTTTACTTCGGATTATCTGCTAAGGATGTTGGAAAATAGCATTCGAGCTTGCTACTACTAATAGCCTAATAATTCCACAGTCTTGGGGAATCTAACAAGCCAGCTGGCTCCGATTGGTTCACTTTGTTTATGAAAGACTTGCTTCTCTCTACATTATACCAGCTGATGCTACCAGTTTGGCTTGAACCGTCACCGGTTTCTCATTCTGGAGTAAAAGTACATTAAGAAGCTTCAAAAAATTATAACCCCTCATTACATTTGAACAAATACAACAGGCCGCCTCGTCGACATCTTGAAATTTTCAACTGTTATTCTCACGTTAAAACCTAGTATTCATGCGTCAGTATCATTTCTCCGAATTTCATCTCGCTAATTTGACCCGCTTATATATTTCTGAAAAACACTATATACATAGTATTCCAGAATATGTGAACGAACTAGAATGGGAGGCAAAAAATTGTAATACAATTTTATAGAAGATATGTTCTACCATTCTGTGTAGAGATAAATAACACCAAGAGGATACCACCAGGGAATGTACTCCACATATCATCAGAACATCTTTAAAAAACTAGCCTTATATTTTTGAAGCCTGCTTTTGTATTCTGTATCTATCATGATGGCAAAAGAGGAAACTTTCTTACTTGAATTGAATAAGATGTTATCTTTTTCAATATGAGAAATGTAGAGGGTGTTCGAAAGGTAGATATCAACCTTCAAAGGGTGAGTAGACCACATTGGGTAACATATACCCAAGTACAAAGTTAAACCGGTTTTGAATTTTGTGCAATTTTGTGTAATTATAGAAAAAAGTAAAAATCATGTAACCATCATCTGTCCAGCTCCATTGTTCCCTCATTTTTCATCGTTTATCTTGACGTAAAGTCTCCTTATACATGTAAGTAAATAAAAATAATGTTTACTGAACTTTCCAGTGTGTCGTGCCTTTTAGAAGGAATTTATGAAACAAAATTGTATAATACTCGTATAGAACCATTGAACAAACGTCCCCCACTTCTAATCTTTCTTATGGTATTCCATACGAAGCGATACAACCAAAGGTAAACTTAAATTCAAAGTTTCACAACAATACGTGCATTTAAAAAATTTTACATGAAGAATTAGGAGTGAGAAAATTAGTTTCTCGTTGGATACCCCACCTGTTGATTGAAGAGCAGAAGCAGCCACGGAATTGGTTTCAAAAAGCGCTTGACCGTTTCAATTCCGGAAACTCAAAAAATGTGTACAGCATTATTAGTGGTGATGAATCGGGGATCTACTATTATGAACCATAAAATTACCGACAGTCGGCTGTTTGGGTGCTCTAAGTTGAAGAAAAGCCAACAAAAATCATCCGTTCTCGAAGTGTGTCGAAAAAGATAGTCGCGACATTTGTGTCAAAAGCGGGTCATATTGCAACAAGCTTCGAAAAATCAACCCCGAAAGAAGAATCATCCTCCACCAAGACAATGCAAGCTCGCACATGGCCCAAAAGACAAGGCAGTATTTAACGGAAGAAAACGTGGAATTATTGAACCGTCCTCCATATAGTCCCGATCTAAGTCCAAACGATTTCGTTACTTTCCAGAAAATTAAAAACAGACTGCGTGGTCAAAGGTTCCAGTCACCAGAAGAAGCAGTTGACGCATTCAAAAATGCCGTTTTGGGTCTGCTAGGAAACGAGTGGAATAAGTGCTTCGAAAATTGGTTCGAGCGCATGCAGATGTGTATGAATCTTCGTGGAGAATACTTCGAAAAACAATAAAGTCATTGAAAACTACCTACCGCGTTGTTTTATTTCCATATGCAAAACTTAAAAGACATCCCTGGTACTACACTAAGCAGAATGTCGTTGAAATTACAAAAAACATAAAGTCCTCTTTTCGCGAAACAAAGCACTTGATATTGACAAAATTATGGAATCTACAACAAAATGCAAATTGTTATTTCTTATATTCGTTTGTGAAATTGTTTCGTATTCTTTTAGTAGTAGTCAGTTTACTAATACTAATACTGATTCAGTTTCACAGTACCGTGTAGCTCTTCTGAAGATTTACTGGGGCATATAATTGCGTAGAATCAAAATGTTGCAAAAGGATGACATTCAATACATAGAAATATGGATAAAATTTACAAGAACATTATAAAATTTGGGAGCAAACCATACATTCCAAAACCGTAATACAGTATATATCGTTATGTTACATAAAACATAGGGCTTGTCGTCATGCCAATTCCTAACATATTTTTGTGCGTTTCATACTTCTGTGGTTGCGAGATCTGAATCCTGCTTGAATCTTATGAGCTGACCTAGATAAAGGAACTAGTTTCTACGATGCAACCACCTCCAAAGAGCATTGATTTGAAAAACTAATGTACTATTTAAGAAAATGGAAACTGAGATGCTTATAACTTACTTCTACAGAATACAACATCAAGCAGTCAGCGAAGGTATGAAAATACATCAGAAATAATGGCTCACATCATTAGAATGTACAACCTCTGCCCTCTAAACTAAAGTTTAGAGAGCACACTACTCTGTGCCTAAGAAAAGCGTATTCAATGTTAAAAATAAGTTATCCCCATAGACATTACCTATCACAAAATACTAAAGCCACGCTCTATGAAGCTTTAGTGTTGTCCCACTTCAAGTTTGCTGTTATGATATATGGCCCATTTCTTGGTAGCGTCGAACTAAAACGGGTTCAAAAAGCTCAGATTTCTTGTCTGCGATTGATATTTGGCATAAAGGGTAGACAAAGAGTATTCCACAAACTATCTGAACTGGGATGGTTGAATATGGCTCAGAGGCGTACCTTGCCCCCCTTATCTTCACTTAAAAATTAGTTACCGGACTGATGTACATAATATAAATCATTCTCATATCAAAATTCCTTTTTGGTAAATAAATTCAAAATTAAATATTTTTATTTCTCGGTAGGTACATTTAAGAGGAACCTTAACAGTGATTTACTGTCTCAGATATCACAGAAAACCTCCTCCTTTTCTCTTCTTCTGTTTCCCCTCGCTTTCTCTTCTCACTCTAAATTTCCATTTCTCGATTTACACTTCACTATATTTCTTAATATCAGAACATAATTAATTATCAATGTCTTAATAGCCATTTGCATTATTATAGGATTGTTTAAATTTGTTTGTTTTTTTTGGCTCTAGCATCTGCTTCTTTAAGGGCAAACTGATGTAGCTCTTTATGCTCTTAAGGCTTTTTGCTTGTAAACTTTTACATACTGTTTAATGAGGTAATAGATATTATTATTATTATTATTACTATTATTATTATTGTTATTAAATCAATTTGAGCAGAATCTGTAGAATACTAAAGTAAATTTAATTAAATAAAACTGTAATTAAAATAAAAGCCTTTTATTTATCCTACGTAATTATCGTTCGTACAACTTTACTCATCTTTTTTTAATTTTATGTCTTTTTACTTAAGCTAGTTGTAACTTTTATATCTCAAATGAAAGCTTGTTAGATAGAGATATTATTTACATAATTTGCACATTTCATTACTAGAAGATTTTTTACACAAAATTGCATTTTTATCGAATAAGTTAGTAAAATAAAAATAAAATGATACATTTAAAAAGCGTAATTTTAAAACGTTTGCAGCTTTTCAACATTTTATTACTTATTATGAACCACTGGAATGTCTGCTATGCGACGATAACAAAAAACTCAAAATCAAGCATGCAGTTTCTTTGTATTTCAATTTCAACAGTCTGAAATCGGAATAAAAAATAAAAAACTTAAAATTCAAATAACTCAAAAATGGTTAACTTTTGGATAAGACATGATAGGACAAAATCGGTTGCTTTTGACCTAATCTATCACCCTTTAACAGGAATACGTGACATTACATATGCGGCTCAACGTATTCCAAATAGGTTGTACTATCACCCCATAAAAGGTTGGTATCGACCTTTCAAATGCCCTAGATACGATCTAAATATGCATCTTGTACTTGCAGTGTGTCCATTTCATTCAAACAACGATGAAATCAGCAATGTTCCAGCCTAAGTCACAACACCAATTTGAAGATGTTATAAGGTGGAAAGCGACGGCTCGTTTATTTCAGAAGGTGTTTTATGGCAACAATGTACTTCTCATCATTGCTATAATACCTTTGCGGCTACTGATGCATGAAAAGCTTATTCTCGCAGCATATAGGCCTTCCTTTATTGATTGGAAGGTGTTTTTCGTATATCAGGTAGGTATTTAGGTTAACTTGTACTAAGATACCTGTACCAAATAAGGCCAAGCTCCTTATAAGGCCATGCGTCGATTTTACAGACACTAGTTACATCTAGAATTAAAGATTTCTACAGTTCTATACATTCATTGAGATCAGTTAGCACCCATAAATGTAGCAGGTGTGGAGCGGCGCTAGATGGCGCAGTTGGCCAGTGTCGATTTTCAACACGTGCCTTACAAAATTACTACTTTAAATTTGTCTTTGATTTTTCATGTTGTCTGCTTCTTTTTGCGAAATCTGTTGTCAGTTCAATCAGGTAAGTCTATAGAACATATACAGCTAGTTATTTGTCGTCGCCAGGTTTCAAATATTTTGTATTTTATAAATTGTATGTTTAAGGTTATAAGTGCCTAATAAGGCCATGATAAACGGTTCCCATTACGGCCACTTGGCCTTATTAGGAACACGCTGGCCATTACGGCAGATGTCTTAAATTAAGATGTTTTTTTTTTCAGAGACTATAGTCGAAACATGCCCTCTAAGAAAAGGGCGCTGTGGTCAACCGAAGCGCTTGTACAAGCACTGGATAGTATAAACAGTGGAACGTCGGTAAATCGTGCATCCAAAGAATACCAAATTCCACGAAGAACACGTCGCAATCATGTTCGTACAGGTGTACGAGAAAGAAAACTTGGTACTCGTACAATTTTGTCTAGAGAGCAGGAAGATGAACTATGCTCAAGGATAATCCGATTATCGGATACAGGAATGCCCCTTACACCAAAGAGTTTGCGAAAATCCGTCTTTCACACAAAGAAATAAACTCGACTCAAAAGTTTGCAGTTCTTGAAACAACAAATCTTGTGACTGGTCAAATAGACAGTGATCAATTGGATCTAAGTTTCAGGGAAGTACTTCCCACACCCGAATGGAAGGCCAACGCCACAAAAAGACGAAAAGCCATCAATTCTACTGCGCAAATTATCGTAAGAGATTTGTTTAAAGACCCAAATCCAGGTCCTATCCGACTTAGATAAAACAATAAAAAAATCTAGTGAGTCTGGAACCGTTAAAAGCAAAAGGTCCCGAAAGAATAAAGACGAAAACTGGTACTGTTTCATATGCGATAAGGATGAAGTACGTGACATGCGTCTGTGTGTAGTATGCTTAAGATATGTCCATGAGGAATGTGTAGGCTTGTGTAGAGGTGATAAAGTATCATTTGTTTGTCATCATTGCGAAGGCAAAATCTAAGATTCTGTATGATTTTCTTTAAACAAGTTGACTTTTTTTATTTAAATCTGTCTAGATTCAAGTGTTTTTTTAATTTTGTTTAATTAGTTTAATTAGAAATATAGCTTCGTTTATTATACAGTCTTGATTTACATTTTGATTGTGGTTTTATTGAAAACCAGATGGTGGCCTTATTTGGATACATGGGTTCCTAATAAGGCCAACGGTAGTGTTTCGAAAAATATATTTTTTTTATATGAAAAGAAAAGGTCTCTGAGTTCTCCGATGTAGCTTGTGTAATAAACATATCTACAATAATACCTTTAAAATTTCAAGGTCGTTTCGCAAATATTTACGCAGTTACAAGTATCCAAACGTTAATGTGGCCTTATTTGGTACAGGTACCTTACTTCCTTTTCCTTCAATTTACTTGCAGGCTTCTCTGCTCTAGTTTTAATTAAAACTAGACAGCGAAATTGTCTTGATGTCGATAGCGACCTGATGATAGCTCTGGCAAAAACAGAACCTATAATCAACCAGCTGATACAGAACATGCAATTTGTCTCATTAGTACCTACTCTTATTTTGTTTTCGATCAAAAACATTTATTAGTTTATTTTAACTTTTCAAGTTTCCTTATTAGAATTGAAATAAAACTTTTTGTACCTATATAATGTGTATTTATTGAAAAAGTAAAGGAGGGCATGAAAATATAATTTATAGTCCGGAGAGCCTTAACAAAAAAAAACCTACTCTACACCCTAGCGAGAAAGCAGTGGTCATATCGCTAAATTGTGGACGTATCACACGGTCAGGATAGAAGGCCGAGGCTGGCTTCATCGGGGAGATATACTAAGTAACACTGATTCATTTTTTCAGGCTATAATGTGCTTTCACAGTTCTCAAAGCTCAGCTACCTTTGTGAGCGTTGTCACAAGCCTGCTGGTACAAATTATAATCCAGCTGTGCTTGTTGGAAAAAACTTTAGAAAACGTAGAAGATACTGAGGGTATTAAGCGATGTGTTCAGTGGCATTTACAGATTCTTTCGTAAGTTGTTTACAATATGATTCTGATAATATTGTTGTTGAAGACTCCTTATTTTTTTAATATTACAGGTTTGTGGAAAAGGTGCAACGACTATGTGGGATAGGATTATTTTGTGAATTCTTTTGCGGGGTTATAAACATATGTACCAGTTTATCATTGATAGTGGAGGTAAGCTTGTAATAACCACATTAGTACAGTTTCCAGTTGTCAGTTCCTCACTTCAAACGTCAGTTATCGGAGATCTAGGACGATACTCCTGCTCAGAAATAAGGTTCCCATCTATTTTAGAAACATAAAACATTGTTTATCTTTATACGGTCCGGCACAAGGGTCGGACAGTTTTTAAAAATCACAATGTCAGTAATTTTCACTCAACAAAAAGAGTTTGTCACAATCAAGTGTGAAAAATCACATCAGCCATGTGGTGACCGTTTTTGACGACGCACTGCTGTAGGCGTTCTCGAAAGTTCGCGTAGACTCTCTCCAACATCGGAAAAAATCGCAGATGGATAAATCTGAGGATCGAGGAGGGCAGTGGACATCACCAAACCAGACGACTTCGAAGAGAGGGGCATAACATAACGTTCATCGGTGCTCGTTCATCGCCCCACCCTGTTGGAACCACACTCGTCGAAATAGAACACGTCGTTTCAGATGAAAAGAGCTTGGTTGTCATTTCGACATAGCGTTCGGAGTTCACGGTAACACCATTATCATAACCCTCTTCGAGGAAGTAAGGGCCGTTGACTGCCATGCCTTGTTTTATATTCAAAAGGAAATGGTGGTGTGATTCCTCTTTTTTTTTAAATAATTAATAAATTAATAAATCACTATAAATGAAATCTAAGGACAGGCAATACAAAACAGCTGTGAAGTGGCGTGCAAATGTATGCCCTAGCTCAATAAAGCGGAGAGTAGGGGAGGTTAAGAGTGAGTCAAGACGGTCTAAGCCACAAAGCCCCGAGATGACAGTCGGAACTTGTTTTGCCTGACCACCCCACAAACCAAAAGAATCTAACAGCAATGACGAAACCTAATTAACTGTATAAAGAGAGCCAAATAAAACAGGATATTAAAAAAAAAAGAATCACAGTATATTGTCAAAATAAGCAGCACATATGCTCCACCACTGGATATATATACTAAACTAAGTGACATAAATCCGAACACCCAGTTTAAATGGTTTTATTTTAATAAAAGTTGGTGAATGTATTTATCTTATTGTAAATAACAAGTGAAAAAATTTTCAGCCTTGTCAGTTGGACATTCCGGTTTTTATACTGCTTTTTTTAATTCACTAACGTTCTAAAAATGAATATTTCAGCCGCAGTAAAGAACCAACGTTGGCGGATTTTGGTTCTTGACATCCTTTACGATCGGTTACGATGCCTATAGTACGGAGACCTGTACGATTTCGTCAACTTAGTGAGTTTGATAGGGGCCGTATAGTGGGACTTCGGGAAGCTGGACTTTCTTTTCGGGCAATTGCAGTTAGAGTGCAAAGAAGTGTAGACACTGTGGTTAGGTGTTGTCAGGCATGGCTTCGAGAAGGCCGTACGCAAAGAGCAAGAGGCACTGGACGCCGCCGTAGAACAACAGACCGTGAAGATCGCCGCCTAAGATTATTGACCTTAAGGGACCGTTTCTCCACTACCAGGTCCATTGCAAATGAATGGTTTGCAGAACACGGAAGACCTATTGGCATGCGAAGTGTTTACCGACGAATGAGAAGTTTTGGCTTGTTTTCATACCGGCCACACTGGGTCCTCCCTTTAACTCGAGAACACCGACGTAATCGCCTTGAGTGGTGCCGACAACGGTCACTCTGGGATCAGGAATGGAACAGTATTGTCTTTAGTGATGAGTCTCGATTTTGTTTAGGCATTTACGATGGTCGTGCCAGGGTTAGAAGGCGACGTGGTGAAAGGAGGAATCCACAGTTTTTTGTTGAAAGACATGTTCATCACACTGTTGGAGTTATGGTTTGGGGTGCTATAGCTTATGGTTCCAGGTTACCTTTAATCTTCATCAGAGGTAACATGAACGCGCAGCGTTATATCCACGAAGTTCTAGAACCCCATCTTTTACCCTATCTTGACACCCTGGTAGATCCAACTTTCCAACAAGATAATGCCCGACCACATGTTGCAAGAGTCACAATAGACTTCTTTCAACATAATGATGTCACATTGTTACCATGGCCACCAAGATCTCCCGACTTATCCCCAATTGAGCACGTGTGGGATATGATGGGTAGGAGATTGCTCAATTTGCAACGTCCTCCTCGGACACTAGAAGCACTTCGAGAGGAGTTGGTGGTTGCCTGGAATGAGATACCACAGTAGGACATGGACCACCTGATCAGAAGCATGTCTAGGCGCGTTGAAGAATGCGTAGCACAAAGGGTTTTAAAGCAGTGCAATCATTTTGAAATTTTTATCATTTACTTATTATGCTTCATTAAGTACTTATACAAAATTTTATTAAAATAAAACCATTTAAACTGGGTGTTCGGATTTATATGTCACTTAGTATATTCAAAACTACCTGACAATAAAATTATTAGATCGTGATCATTAACCCTGCAAAACATTTACCATGGTACACTTACGAAGGCTTTACAAATATAGGCCTTACAGGTGTTTTATCGCCTAAACCTGAACTTCTTCCAGTTACAACTCTAGGCGCAGCTGAGATGTCCTCAGCTCACAAACGTCCAGGTCAAAAACCAGTAACCAGTACTGAACAGTGACGTGAGGAACGTCACAAGGTAGGATCTGCTTGCCTCGTTTTCCAAAATTCACGGTATAAAAAAACCGTAGAGAGAGAAATACTCTCTATTCCCTGTCTGAGACAGAACTACACATTTAAACACTCAAAACTTGAAGAAAAATCCATGTACATCCTCTTTTACAAGAAATTTACTTTTCTTTCTGCAAGGGCAAGATATGATATAAATGTACTAAAGTGATATACCCTCAGAAAGTTATCTCTTATTCTAAAATAAGTTATGGCAGCTCAAAATTCAAAATCTTGATTAATGTAATATAATAAGTCCAAACGACGGTGACATGTTGGCACTGCCACATATTTGAATGCGTAAAATGCCAAACAAAATCAAGTACACCCTAAGAATCTTAGTCAGCAATAATCAATATAAGTATCCACAAAATACCCAATTAAAACGATATTTTACCTATTCACATCAGGGTTTTTTTATCAAGGAAGGGATGGCCTTCAACAAAATCGACTGCGAAACAGCTACAAGGCAGCTATAAAACAAAGCTGGAGGAGTGTGAATGGTATTTCTCCGCAATGCCTTTCCACTAAAAGGAATGAGATATTGAACAAGCTTCTTCAGGAAAAGCATTAATGGACGTAGTCTGATGGTAAACAACAGAGAACTTACCGCTGGAGGTTAACATCCCATTAGAAAATGGACGAGTAGTACCCAAACAAAAACAACTAAACGTAAGGTACTACATAAAAGGCTACTACTCCATAAACTAGTGTTTAGGGCTTTAATATCCCAAAATCAGAAAAATAACGAAAAAAAAAACAATCCACAATCTCCGCAGGAAAGTAAAAGCAAAATGGCGCTGGACGCGTCTGTACACCAACTTTTTAAAACAAGTATCTCGATAGAAAATCAAATATTGAAAGAAGGTTAAATGAGCGGCTCTGAAGGAGTCACGTTCGACAGAATGTCAAACGGAACGGAGAAAAGCCGGTAAAGAAGGTATCTTGATAGTAAATCAAATTTTAACAGAAGGTATCTTGATAGGAAGGTAAACATTCATATATGGCTAGTACGTGTAAAAATCAAAAGGTGGCGCGCTGGTTCCCAACTCTGTCTACGAGGGACCAACAAAATTTTATGAGTCAATTTTTAAGATAGTCGTTAATAATCAAGATTTCAGCACAATACTGAGTCGCTGAGAAAGAAAGATATAATACGTCTGAAATTATACAATCAGTAGCTATGAAATTTGCCAAAAGAAAATCATTGAGAAAGGTTTGACCTAGGAATGGGTACTCTATAATCAATAAAGAGAAATTCAAATTACTTGTAAGTGATCAAAATAATAAAAAAAAGGTTACCTGATTTTGGCACGTGACATTATGCAAGTTTGCGATACAGTGCACCAAACCGCCACTTTTTGGGTGTACAGCTTTCATGTAACTGTCGCGGATTTTCATTAGCCCAATAGCGGAGATTCTACTGGTTAACCATGCCATTAAGACGGAAGTCAGCTTCATCACTCATGAACAAAACGAGGTTCTCATTTTGCTCGGTAAGTGCTTCCATCTAACGTACAAATTTCATTCGTTGTGCGTAATCTCCAGGCCGTAACTGTTGCACAATGGAGAAATTGGAAGGGGTGAAAGTGAAGTTCCATATGCAAAATACGCCTTACCGTGGAGTTCCTGGTGGTCTTTCGTTGATCAGTACACCACCTGTGCAAAGTGGTTGAACCAACGAAGGATGATATTTCGAAAAGGAACAGCTCGATTCCGATGATAGGTTGATTATGTCGATCAAAACTATCGTCCGCGGAAATTCAGTGCTCAACCGTCCACTTCTCCATAATGTCTACCGGTAAAAATGCTAGGAATGCCCGAGTCGAACATCACTCTCCCCACCACTCTCGCCCAAGCGCTTATTCTCCTAGCACGCTCCCGACGACGCTCCAAAACTGATAGATGGGAACCTACGCGTTTGAGCAGTGTAAAAATTCACATCGGGAAGTATTGGCATCTCAGATTTTCTTTTTACTTCAATTTTTAGTTAAAAAAAAATCAATCCACAAAATTTCAAAAATTTTGTAACAATAAAAATACCGACTACAAGAATATGTAGAAAAAATACCGATTGTGTAGGAAACTAGATCAAAGTATTTCCAATTATGTAAGTTTCCATAAGAATAAACGTTTTTTTTATCTTTTTAAAATTGATGGGATCAATCCTAGTAATAATTCCTGTTTTCAAGCTATGATTTCAATTCTAAAATCTTTCCTAGACGTTTGTAGTACTTTTATGTTAATTCAAAACTCCTTTAAATTCAATTTTGAATTCACTTATTTCAACAATCTTTCCTTTCGAAAGTTGAACATT